GAAAAGGTAAGAAGCGCAATAACTAAATTGTGTTTTTTCTTCAAGTCAATTTGCAGTAAGGTGATCGATCCTGAGATCTTGCCAACATTGCAAAAAGAAATAGTTGTTACTTTGTGTGAGCTTGAAATGTATTTTCCTCCCTCGTTTTTTGACATAATGGTTCATCTTGTCGTTCATCTTGTGAAAGAGACACAATTGTGCGGACCAGCTTATATGATATGGATGTACCCTGCTGAACGTTATATAAAAATATTAAAAGGGTATGTGAAAAATCAGAGTCGATCAGAGGGTTGTATTGTCGAAAGATACATTGTTGAAGAAGCGGTTGAGTTTTGTACTGAATATTTGTCAAATGTTCAGTCAATTGGACTCCCCAAATCTCATGTTGTTGAAAAAAAAGAAGGTAATAAGCTAATTGGAAATAAAGTTGTGACAGTATCAAGGGTCGAACGGGATCAAGTGCATTTGTATGTTCTGCACAATGAGATTGAGGTTGAGCCGTATGTCGAAATACACAAGGGTGTTCTTCGAGGTTTAAATTCGAATAGAAATGAGAATTGGATTGTACGAGACACAATCGAAGTTTCATACCATGGTTTAAGGAACATATTTATTCAAAGTATCGTTCAGATCCCGCCTTAGTGACAGAAAGGTTGAGATGTTTAGCATATGGTCCAAGTTTGGTTGCGTTTTCTTATAGCGCATACGCAATTAATGGATACACATTTTATACCAAAGAACAAGATGATAAAAGTACTGTGCAAAATAGTGGTGTCACCTTGGTAGCTGAAGCAATGCACATATCTAGTGTGAAGGACTTAAACCCGAAATTTGCAAATCTGTCGTATTTTGGGGTTATCGAGCGCATTTGGGTCTTTGATTACGAGAAATTTCAGATTCCTATATTCGGTTGCAAGTGGGTTGAAAATAATAATGGTATACGGATGGATAAGTCAGGATTTTTGCAAGTTGATCTTAACAGGGCGGGGTACAAAGATGAGCCTTTCATTCTAGCCTCTCAAGCTAAACAAGTGTTCTATGTCACTGATCCGACAAGTACGAAATGGTCTATAGTGCTTTTCTCTAACAAAGTAATTGATGAAAAGATTGGAGACCAAGGCGATACTGGTGTTGACATTGAATCTTTTACCAGAAATGATCAAAATGATAATGAATCATGCATTAGAAATGATCATAATGAAGGTATTTGGATCAATCCAACCGTCCGCGTTGTTACGAGACGAGTAGAACATATTCCTACCAAGAAAAGAAAGAGATGTTAGTGAAAAAGGTAATAGTATATATAATTATAGACAATGTCATTCAATAAAATGTATATATATGTCATTTCATTTTTTTCATTATAGTATAATATATATAGCCTATATCATTTCATTTTTTTCATTATAGTATAATATATATAGCCTATATCATTTCATTTTTTTCATTATAGTATAATATATAGCCTATATCATTTCATTTTTTTCATTATAGTATAATATATATAGCCTATATCATCCAGTAAAATTTAAATATACGTCATTTTATTTTTTTGCTTTATGGAATTTTATGAAATATTTGTTATCTGACATCTTAGTTTTTTGAAATATTTAGGATTGTTTTATTTATGTTTTGATGTAGGTATATTTCTTTTTCATTCTTTATCAGTTCGTAACTATTTAATCATAAATTTAATAGTATCTATCTTTTCATTCTATTTAATCCATTGTCCGAAATATTGAATAACATTCTATGAATTTGCAGCGTTTCCCGGCCTAGTTCGACGTACGACGCTCATTCTCCGCGTTTCTTAGAGTTCGAAACATCTGAGAGGTAACTTTCTTCCTCAAATTACTGGTATATATTGTGATGAATTTGTCTTAAATTGTCTTTCGTATGTTGCATTTTCTTGATACGGATTCATTCCGTGTATACTTTGCGTTTTGACTGAAAATTTGTTATCTGACATCTTAGTTTTTTGAAATATTTAGGATTGTTTTATTTATGTTTTGATGTAGGTATATTTCTTTTTCATTCTTTATCAGTTCGTAACTATTTAATCATAAATTTAATAGTATCCATCTTTTCATTCTATTTAATCCATTGTCCGAAATATTGAATAACATTCTATGAATTTGCAACGTTTCCCGGCCTAGTTCGACGTACGACGCTCATTCTCCGCGTTTCTTAGAGTTTAAAACATCTGAGAGGTAACTTTCTTCCTCAAATTACTGGTATATATTGTGATGAATTTGTCTTAAATTGTCTTTCGTATATTGTGATGAATTTGTCCTAAATCATGCATATATTTTGTTTTGTAATGTAGTATTTTGATCAATACAATTGTCCATATTACTCGCCACGTCAATTGGAAGAACTCAAAGAGGAGTTGTGCCAATATTTTATTGAGCTAAGAATCTTATAATAAGGTACGAATACATTGTTGTGTGAAAATTGGTTAATTATGAATATATTGTTTTGTGTATACAACACTGACCGTGTTATTATGTTCATATTGCAGGATCAGGACCTTGGATATATATGTAGATTAGGATTGATTTACTTAGTGTTATATAGCTGATTTCTTAGGGTGTATTTTGTTACGTTTAAAAACATGTTAATATTGAATTACCATGGTGTATATATATTTTGGATATGAATTGATTATAATGGTATTTGTATATATATATATAATATTTGGTATTTGAATTACATTTGGTATTTGGATTAAAACTAATATATATTGGTATTTCTAGATTAGATTGTAAAATACCGGTTTAAGAATTACAGGTTTGCTGCAAAAAAATGCAGGTTTAGAAATTTTTTAAATTTTAGATTTTTCAGTAGAAAACCTATAAAAGCGCTTTTAAGAAAAAAGCGCTCTCGTAGGCCTACCTATGAAAGCGCTTTTTTCTTAAAAGCGCTTTCATAGGTAGGCCTACGAGAGCGCTTTTAGCTGAACAAAAAGCGCTCTTATAGGCCTACTTTATACGCATTCTGAATACACCTATGAAAGCGCTTTTAAGAAAAAAGCGCTTTCATAGGTAGGCCTACGAGAGCGCTTTTTTCTGAACAAAAAGCGCTGCTAAAACCTTTAGCAGCGCCACCTACGAGAGCGCTTTTAAGCGCTTTTAAAGCCCAAAAAAAGCGCTTTCGTAGGTTATTTCTGGCATAGTGATTGGTTTTTCTGATTGCATGCGTCTCATCTTGTATTTCATGCTCTTTTACATATATAATATGGTTTATTAATCTAAATCCTTCAATACATCGTTATCTTTGATTATAGTTAAATTTCCATAAAAATAAGACAATGGATAATCTGCCTCATCATCATCCCTTATCATTGTAATTTTTATAATCATAAATTTTACGATCATTACTATTGATGAAGAGGCCGACCATCTAATAAATTATAGTTAATGAAATTTAACTATAATCGACGAAAATGATGCATCTGAGGAGACAGGTCATTATACCATAATCTATAGGTAAAATAACATGAAATGAACGATGAGACGCATGCAATTCGGAAACAATGATTGATATAAGTTGGTTTTCAAATACAATTTAATATTTAGATTATAGTATATATGTCAATTTAAATAAATGTATTTTAAGTGAGGGTTAGTGAAACAAATAATCTATATAAAATATAATAAACTCAAACAATATCATACAACAGAACCAAATATAATGAACTTGTGAGCAACGAAAAAGATATATTATAAGTTTCCAGGATGCACTTTTTATTTAAAATAACCGTGGAACAGGAATCAATATGAAGTTATCGACATGTGAATAGAGTATGAAAATCATCTTATTTGTGAAGCTATGAAGAAGAAGTACGAGATAAGTTTCCATCATAGCTTCAGGTTTCTTGTACTTTTTTCCATAGCTACACAAACAATATGTCCCATAGACAATATAGTGAAGACAAATCTGAAAAAATGAGAACAATCAACAAAAAAACATGCAACAAGCGAGATAATGGAGAAGGTGGAAGAAGAAGAATATCTTAACGTATCAAGCACATGATTCACGGCTAATGGAGAAGAACAAGAGAAAATATGGGTGCTAGGGTTTCATTGTGAAGGAAATGGAGCTACTGTCCATAAGTGAGAATTAACTCACTTATATATAGGTAACTTTTTTCACAGCAGTTATTTACCAACCATATTGATAAGTATTTATTTATTATAAATATATCACAACAGTGGAACAAACCAACCGTAGTCATAACCCATTAACTTTATTATTTAAAAATGAATAAAAATGAAAAGGCGCACCTTAACTTTAAAGGAATAATATATATGAGGAAACTGAGGTTCGAACCCATGAAGACTTGATGGTATCGCCATGATTGACTCCAAAACTATTATTATATACAATTAATTTTTAATCAAAAAATAATAATATGGTAGCGCCTTAGTTTAAAGATGTCACCACGGTGTAGGGAAGAACCGTGGTGACCATGTAATTGTTGTTTACTTCTTTTGTAGCAGTGTCACCTTCCAACCTCAGGGTCCACCACTTCCAACCTCACGGTCCACAACTTCCAACCGGTAACATCATCATTCATCACCCTTCAAATGTAACACCTACCAACCTTACTCCCTCTGTCGATATCCATAACAATCATCACTAATTCATGTCACCAAGCGAAACCACCAAACACGACTTCGAACCTTCGAAGCTCCTACCCATTTTGTGAAACTCCCTCTGTTCCGCAAAGCACTACCTTAGGCTAGTTTAATCCTTCACGATACGAACCTTCGCAGCTACTCTATCACGTTGAAACAAACACCAGTACCCCACTTTAATTCATCTCCAACATTCGTGAGGCATCCTTCTACCGCAATCTTCTAACTTCGCACAACAATCGCATCACAAGTCCTTCGAGCAACACCCTTCGACAGTTTCGGTAAACTTATATTCACCTTTTTCATTAATCTCTGATTTACTTTTGTTGAATAAACAATGAATTTAGGTTTGTTTATATTATGTTGAGTAATTTTTGTTTGAACTTAATGGAGATAATGACTTTTGAACATTTGCTTATGATGACATCGTTGTTTATTGCTGATTTGATAATAACATTATTGTTGATTTTGTTCTTGATACTATGGTTGAATCAAAGGATTAGATTATGTTGTTTTTTTGTTTATGGAACTTTGAATGAGGACTTTGATGATGAACCATGTGTTTGTTTAAATTGAGGTTTGATTATGGTGTTGTTTATGTTAAGTATGAATGAGACTTTTTTTGTCAATACCATGTTTACTTGAATTAAATTTGATTGGAATTTATATTGATGATTATGGTGTTATTGATGATTAATTTGAGTGGTAAAGTTTTGAAACAATTGTATTTAAGTTGGATTATGTACATTTGGTTTTAAACTGAGTTTGAAATCGTGATTGTGTGGTTTATGTTGAGCTAAATGTTGAAATTGGATAATGTTACGAGCTACTAGTTGGGATTTTGATACCATGTGCTTACTTGATTGGAAAGAGGTGTTAATGACATGTTTATTCATTTTGAGTTAATCTTGAATGGTTTAAATTTGTTGTTGATTTTGATGTGTTTCTCATTGGTTTCAAATATGTTTGAGTTGGAATATTGGGACATAATTATTTATGTGTAGTTTCTTCCCGGTTTTCAATTTAATAGATAATGGCTTAATTCCAATCTTGTTTTGAGTATGTCTTGATTTGCAATTTGAGTATATGCTAATTGATTCCGATTTTTAATGAATTGAAAGTTGCTTGAAGCTTGTTTTGAGAAACTTTCATGAATTCTTGGTTTCAATTCATCCTTACCCTTTACTTTGAAACTTCACATCTTTACCACTTCCTTGTTAATTAAAGTTGATTTCAATTTCCAATTCGATTCATGTTCTTACTTGGTTATGCATGTATTATGATTTTAATTTTGAAATTGAATTAGAAGTACATGTTTTTTTGTTGCAATTTCATTTGGGTTATTTTAATCCCTCTTGTGTTACTAATAAGTTTATTATTCTGTAGGCTTTCAAGATAGCTCATGTGTTAATTTCATCTTGGTACCACTTTGTTGCTTTTAGTTAATTAACTAAAAGTTGATTTAATTAGTTAGTTTTGTTATTAAAAATTAATTGTTAATTAATTTCTTTACTTAATTAATTAATTAAATTTAATTTTAATTAATTAATTAAACCTCTATTTCATATTTCATTTATCTCATTTAGCTTTGATACTTAGTTTTAATCCACTTGGACCAGAATTCTTATTTCATATGAGATATTCAGACTATTTCTCTACTATCCTGGTTATTGTTTGTTTGTTGGAAGTTTTATCTGATGCATGGATTCTTATTCATACTTGGAGTTCTTATCTGATACTTTGAGCTTTATATGACACATTTCACTTATCTGATACCTTGGGTTTATCTGATGCATATTCTGCTTGTGATTTATTCTCACCAGTTGATCGCTATACTCTTGGTTTATTCTCTGCTTGTGGCTTTAATCCAAAGGATGATAATTATTATTGACTTTATTTTTCAAGTGTCGGCTCTTATTTAGTTAGATTGTTCTATACATGCCTTTTACTTTCTTGTACATAGGATAATCTCTTCATCTTCTTTCTCATTCTTCAATTTTCAAAACTTTCTCATATTTTTTTAAAAATCTTCTTGTTTTTCAAACTTAACCACTTTCATAATAAACCTTGACCTTGTCAAGTGATCTTTCAAACTTCATTTTTCTTAATCAAAACTCAAAACACCTAACAAATAAAGATGTAAATTGTATGTAGTTGAGTCTTATGGGGACTAGTGAAGCCATTTATTTTGAACCTTACTTTTTCTTCCATTTCTGGAGTTTATTATGATTCAATTCACAAATCCTTTTTTAAGCTAACAAAATACTTTAAATCATTCAAACTTTTTTGTGCCCTCGCACACCTTTTAACTTTAAAACTTTTTTCCAAGATTAGACATGGTTTATTTATAGTCGAGATGTCATCTTTTATTCCCATGGTTGTAAAGATGTCGAATTTTCCACTTGAGTACTAGAGGTGTTCTTAAACCCTCACTCATGCTGATGCATTTGTTCTTTTTTAGAAGAACTACGAGTGCCCAGATCCTCTATTGCACGAAGGGGGTACGTAGGCACAAAGATTCGCCACCGCGGCGGGAGAAATAATAAAAAAACATTTATTTTGTTTGTAAATATATACTTATTCATTCCCTTTAGCAAGTAATTCTTTAGATAACACACTCTTCGATTAGAACAAACAAAGTGGATCCTATGGATTGCCATAAATATTTAGGCTTCTGATACCATCCCTTTGCATAACCGACCCCCATACCTTGATATTTTTTCATTTTGGGTTTTATTAGCTCTTTTCCCATTTTCCCTTTGGAAATAATAAAGTGAGGTGACGACTTTTACTGATATGAGTTAAGTCAATTAATGACTTAGTATCAAATTTTTACTGCTACATTTTGCTAAGTGCGACATCATGGAGACTTCACTGGGAGAACTTTCCTAAGTGGGTCAATCCTAGCTTTGTTTGTTTCTTTTCTGAGTTTTTATCTATATGTTTTACTTGTTATTATTCATTGCAATTTACCGCTTTCCACTATTTTGTATATATGTTGTGTTGTGTTGTGCTGGATTTTCTGGTTTTTTTAGGTTAGGTGCGATGTTACTTTGAGGTAAAAGGCCAAGTACCTAGGTCAGAGAATTCACTTAGGAACACATAGGAATAGAGTGGAGTCATGACCATAATTGGACGCAGGTTCTACTAGTGCGGTCATGTGTGCCACGCTCAGACGAGGTTCAAATGGGGTAATATTGTGATACACGTCTATTGTTACGATGGAAGTAATTTCATGCAAACTCACGACTTTGAGTTACCTTTTGACCTTACCCTGGCCTAGACTTCACCCGTGAGTGGGGAGGGAATTATTCTTACAGGTACAGATGTTGATCCTCATGGTACTTAGTTCCTTTGTGTTCTGATTTGGTGTCGAACCTTTAAATCTTGTTACATTGCTTTGCATTATATATGTATTGCATATCATTTGCATCCTCCACATCATTCATGCATATATCCAAGTTGCCTAAGATGTCATTCCTAGTTGTCTCTTTCTCCATAATTGTCTGTCTACTGTCAAACTGATTCCTCGACACTTTGGATTTGAATCATGTCTCCGAAAACTATGGAAGAACTTCAACGAGACCAAGAGATGTTAAGATATGAGGTCAACTAGTTGAAGGGCCATATGAGCCAAATCATGGAAATCATGTAAGTCTTTTTGAAAAGAGAAGGTAACTCTCCATCTATCGTTACAATGTAAGTGGATACTCTTCTAGACTCTTCCTTGTTTACCCCGTCCTAAAAGCAACACCATTTAGTGATTACTCTTGTTCCATTATACGGTTTGTCCCCAAAGAATCTTCCTCAACATGTGTTCCCAAAGGTGGTAAGTGATAATTTTGAATCAGTTTAGAAGAATCCACTGTTCACCTCAGGGTTAGGCAAAAGAAGAGTTGATAATGCAATGATGACATCTTCGCACAAAAAAAGGATTCTAAGTATTTGCAAGGGGCAACTATCTGATATGCATCATAAAGCTCTACATCAGCATCCATTGTTTGTTTCTCACCGAGACAACATGAACCAGAATTAGAATCATAATAGAAGGAATAAGACTCGCTTCGATCCTATTCCCATGTCATATACTGAATTGTATCCCCACTTATTTCAATTAGGTTTGATCAAAACAAGGTCTTTAACTCCTTCATATCCTCTTCCAACAGGATTCAGGTCTCACCTTCACCGTGAGTTCCATCAGGGAGCTGCCGACCATGATTTAGAATGTTGCTACGCACTGAAGGCTAGAATGCAACACTTGGTCAGAGGACATGTAATAAATTTCGAAGCTCTTAATCCAAATGTTTTCAACAATATCTTTTCATGGCATGACAAGTGAAGCTTCAGTCAGAGTCAAACTATCTTCCTAAAGCTAGTGTTTCAGACATGACAACTCATATTTGCTACTGATTAGTCACTAGGACATGTTTCTTCCTGTTTGTATTTTCCATTAATTGTATTAACGTTTTCTTCCAAAATTTGTTTGTACTTTCATGTTAATTTTAATGAAATGAACATTGCATGTTTTGATTAAATTTATTTTCATTTACTTCTTTCAAATATATTTTTCCTATTTACTTTCTTTATTAAGCCTTTTTTATGCAAAGATTGGAGGGAGAATGATGAAAACGAAATACCCATAACTTTTATTGGTATTTTTTCAAATAAAACATTGCTGATGATGTACATGCATTGTTTCAACTCCCAAACACTAGATAAATAAGGAAGTTAATCCCTTGTCAACCCCTTTGAGCCTTGAAGTTGGAGTTTCTTTCTATATAAAAATACCTGCAATTTTCACTTGGGGATGGGTAGTTCTTAGTTAATTTGGATATGCATTCAATTATAAGAGAAATAATTCAAGATATCTTTCAATAAATGTTGCAATCAAGTTTTCCTTCGCACACATCAAAGAAGTTTAGAAGACGTCTCTCAAATCAAAAGTGATGATGACGGTTCTCCCTAATCATTAAACAAGGCAGTCAATATCTTTCTAAAAAGAAAAAGAATAAAAAAATCAAAACAAAAACCCAGCTAGGTCAAAATCTATGAAGGAGACTTAGGCAAAAACTGGGGCATCCCGCTAACTGTAATCTCAAATGAATCAGTTCAGTAAAAATTTAGAGATAACAAATTCAAAAGAAAGAGGTCATCGAAATCCTCAACAAAAAACAAAAATGAGTTGACAAAAGTCCTCGACAACAACAACAAAAAGTTGTAAGAAAAAGTGACTGCCTTCTTAAGAATCCCTTGGTTTCTGAGCCATCATCATTATTATCATCAGTGTTGCAATTCAAAAATCTCTTGGAACCTGAATGCATAGTCTGAATTAACTGAGTGTAGGATTTAAGATCATCACAAAGAATGGGTTGGGTACAAACAAACTTTGAGCCTTTATCCTTTGTTTTATAAACCGTGAACCAGACCGCGTTACAACCCTCAAAAGACCTAATTGAAGCCATGTTTCTTTTAAAAGCATACTATAACAAGTTTCCATAAGCTGACTCCTAAGATTTTTGCAAATCATTTGTCTTGGTATCATACCTTTGCTTTCTCTTTCACTTTAAATGTCTAAA